ATTTTTATTTCTTTTGTTTTTGTAGTGCACGCTTCGCATTTTATTATTTTTCCCCATGCATTCCATTCTTTTCCTTTTTTTTTTTTTTTTTTTTTTCTACTCTATCAACAGGAAATTTAATATACGTACGCGTCCTGCCGGCACATGGTGCCGCGTATCCTTTACATCCTATTTACATGGCATACAGCGCCAAAGTTTTTGTTTTTAAAATAAAAATTATGCCAACATTTAAGCGGCATATATGTATATATATTTCCTTTTTTTATTGTGTGCATAGACCACATGAAATATTTACCCATTAAATTTGCCTTTAATTAAATGAGAGGCATTTTTTATGTGCGAGTCCTTTCGCAAATGGCGGCCAGCTTCCGCGTTTCGTTTGTTGAAATAAAAAATAATATTGTTAATTGCAATTTATTCACATGAACACCTCGTCGTTTGTTGTGGACTGGGCCACGCCCCCACTTCTGCACACACCTTGCCCTTTCCCTTGGCTCTTGTACATTCACATTGATTTTAATATTTCATTATTAAATATTTCGTCGACAGCGTGCGCTGACTCGCTGCCAAATGAATAAACTCCATAATGAATAACTCATTTTGTTAAAGGCACAGATTTCAGTATTTCGATATTTTAACATTTCCAACATGCCATTAGTAATTCATTCGAAATACCCTTGCTTGGACAGGGTCTTTAGCTGGATGAAGCACTCAATGCCGAAAATATATAGTATATGTGTGTATCTTATCCGAACAAAGCGGTTGAAATAATAAGTTGGATAGGTAAATAAATGGCATTTTATTATGCTTATATAATATGACTGTCAGTCAGTCAATCATTCCACAAACTAGTCTGATAATCATTAAATCAAGAGCATGGCTTGATCAATAAGTGTCAGTCCGTCATTAGTACTATCAATCATTCAATCAATTAGACTATAAGACTATTAATTGACCAATCACTCTTAGTCGATCAATCATTCAATCAATCAATCAGTCAATCAAGGCTAATGGCTTGACCAATCACTGTTAGCAATTCTATCAATCAGCTTGTCAGTAAGTCAATCAATCAGACACTATGAGAATTGATTGATCAATTACTGTCAGTCAGTCAATCATTCAGCCTGTCAATTACTAAATCAATCAGTTAATAAGCTAATGGATTAACCAATCACTGTCAGTCAGTCAATCATTCTATCAATCAGCTTGTCAGTAAGTCAATCAATCAGACACTATGAGAATTGATTGATCAATTACTGTCAGTCAGTCAATCATTCAGCCTGTCAATTACTAAATCAATCAGTTAATAAGCTAATGGATTAACCAATCACTGTCAGTCAGTCAATCATTCTATCAATCAGCTTGTCAGTAAGTCAATCAATCAGACACTATGAGAATTGATTGATCAATTACTGTCAGTCAGTCAATCATTCAGCCTGTCAATTACTAAATCAATAAGATAAAAGGCTAATTGATTAACCAATCTGTGTCAGTCAGTCAATCATTCTATCAATCAGTCTGGCAGTAAGTTTATAAATCAATCAGAGTTAGAAACGATTGATCAAGCACTGACTGACTGTTTATGAGACAGAACCTAATGCTCAAAGTGTGTAAAGGATTCGTTTTTTGGTTTTCCAATTTTCTAACCCGTTTCATCCGAGCGTACTGTTGAGAGCCAAAAGTGCCGAAAGAGAAAAACTCCAATTAGAGCCGAACGCACAAAAGCAGACTTCATTGTCCTGGGGCTACATTTTTAATAGATTAGCTGGCGAGCAGGTGAGTTTAATCCATAAAATGTGCGATTATTGCGTTTATGCGGCCCGAGGCGAATTCAATATAAAATATAAACAAACGTTAGAGAAATTACAAAAGCAGAGCGAGCGCAGCAGCATAAGGAAACAATGTGGCAAACGTTATATATTCATTGTCCCTGTTATCCTTGCCGGCGACACACGCACACACACACACACTCACACATAGGCAGGTGGATGGGCCAGACTTGGCTTATTTGACTATCGATTAAAGTTTGTGGTCTTTGTGCATACACAGCCTCGAGTACTCAAAATGCTGCGAAGTATCCTTTAAGCATGCACGAAACATTTTCGATTAATTTCAAATCATGTGTGCACTGTCTGACAGGTCCGCAAGAGCCCAAAACCCAGGGCAAAGGGTTCGATCTACGCCCGACTGGGCCACGGAATGGGATCAGAGTCGGGACCAACCCCTGCCCAAGCCCTAACCCTGCCTGGCGACAATTGCGCTTCGTTGCGTCACTTTGTTGTGCGGCTTATCCAATGGCAACCAGTCGCCAGTGGATTAATAACAAATAAGTATGCTTCAGTCGGGCGTGCCCGAGAGAGACATACCCTGTTCCTGATTAACTACGGTGTTAATAGTACGATCTATATGACTTTATCAGGACTTAAACATGGTATAGACAGGTGTGTGTATAACAAAGCGCAAGGCTCTACTTAGTCGGGCATGCCCGAGAGAGACATACCCTGTTCCTGATTAACTACGGTGTTAATAGTACGATCTATATGACTTAATGAGGATTTAAATATGGCATTGAGAGGTGTGTGTATAACAAAGGTTCTACTTAGACGGGCATGCTCGGGAGAGACATACCCTGTTCCTGATTAACTACGGTGTTAATAGTACGATCTATATGACTTTATCAGGACTAAAATATGGCATTGAGAGTTGTGTGTATAACAAAGCGAGATCTGTCCAAATTTACAGGGTATGTAAGAGGCGTGTACAATATGCTCAGGCTATATATACCCTACAATAAGCAGCATACCAGAATTGAAGTATTTAGCTTCTATAATCTTCCCTAAAACCCAATTCCCAAGATCGATATTTATCGATTATTATAATTGTTGTAAATATCGAAAAGAAAATGATAAATGTAGAAACTTTCCTTTCCATTTGCTCGAAAACATGAAACCCTTTTTACACATTGGGTTTCGGTTATGAAAATTGTGATCCTGCTGCCCGCTGAGTGCATCAACTACAGCGGCAAATGGCTGGCCGTAAGCTGAAATCTGTTGGCTGCCGTGGCAAATCCACAAAGAGAACTTAACAAAAAGGTGTTAATGCCGAGCTCCGGCCCGGGAGCTGGAATCGCGACGCTGGGCTTAGCCCAAAGCTGGCGACTGGGCGACCCCAAGGGCTTGGCTGGCTTAGACCTTCAATGCAGCTTATGACTGCGGATACAGACATTCCGCTAATGACGCTAAATGGAAATTACTCTGCGGATGAGTGGCAGAGTGGTGGGAGGGAAGGGCGGGGAATATAGGAGTCGGTAGGATGCAGATTGCGCCCGCGGCGCGCCACGACGCGTCGCTGCAATTGTTGGAGAGAAAGCAAATGTTATTTGCGAACAAACAAGCCGAGAAACCCGAAAACCATTCAACATACAAAATCATACAATTAGTTTGGCTCTAATCCGAGCCACAAATACTACCAAAAATTGTTGACTGAAGAGAGGAGTCTGGGGGCAGGGGCAGGGGCAGAGGCAGGGCGTTCTTTGTTATGACACACATGCGTGTGCCTGCATGGGAATCCTTAGAAGCAGGAGCTGGGCAGGCTAACAGCTCAAGGAATGGCAGAACCTTGAGCGCAAGAGAGAGAAAAATAGAGAGCGGGGAGGGGGAGAGAGAGTGGCAGCAAGGACATGGCTTCAGGTTTGCTGTTTCCATGAATTTTGAGCAAGGAATTTAAAACACACGCATTACGCTCAAAACTTTCTGATAATCTTTAAAAGAAAATGCACAACACAAAAAACTACATATTAGTACAGTGAAAACTCTTGTGGACGAACTAAGTGTCCGTCTAATAGAGGAGATTTATTGACCCGCAGACTGGCTAGACTCTAAGATTGGAGCTATTTTCCGGCATTAAGCCAAGTTCTGTCCATTCAACCATCTCAATCCAAATCTCTGTTTTTAGTCTGTTCCAATCTCTTAAAAGATATTTCCCAACATAGATAGACAAAATAGCTGAAAACGAAGAACCTCTGAAAGGACTTCCGCTCAGAAGCTGACAGATTTGTCAGTTATCTAGGCACACATAAGTCTCCCAAGGTTTATATTAAAATGTGCAAATTGTAGCTACAATCGCATAACATTAACTATATTTAGTATTCGCCTAGATAAAGGCAAGCTTGGAAAAACTTTGATATAAACCGAAGATAGGATACTCTTCTCAGTGATACTACGAAGGAGGCATACTAAACTGAACCTTATATTTAGTATAGGATACTCTTCTCAGTGATATTACGAAGGAGGCATACTAAACTGAACATTATCCTTATATTCTATATATATATATATATATATATATATATATTATCTACAGCTCTTACATTATAAAGTTTATGTAAATTAAGGCTAAGTTCGTATTAAATTAGCTAAAGGCAAGAAGTTAAGCGAGACTTCGATAAGGACCGAAGTCTTCAATACCCTTTCCGTTATAGAAAATAAGATATATTCTTGTATTGTTAGAAAAATATGACCTAAAGTTAAGAAGTTTGCTTTTCAAAAGTGGCCCAAGGTAGAAGAGCTAGAAACTAGAAATTTTAGATGTAGATGCTCGTAGTTCCCGCGCAGATCGAGTTTGTTTCTGATAATCGATAACTTTCTCCGTTTCCAAGCAATCGATCAAAATAGATATCGATATCCTGATTTTTGGGCAATTTTGGTAAATAATAAGAGCTAGAGTCACCAAACTTGACATATAGCTTCTAAAATAGAATATATATATGCATTTGATGTTGGAAGAAGAGGGTTCAGGGTATCCCCTTGTCGGGAGCTCCCGACTAGAACCCCTTACTTGTTTTTTTTATGAACCAGAAAATATGTTCATATATCAAACAAAATTTTAATACTCTTCTCAAACAAGAACCAAAAATTGTTTCCATTTCTAGAGCTGCTTTCAAATAATGACATTAACGTATCCAATTCCATTCGCATTAACAACTTTTTGGCCATTTATTTAGGTGAACTTACGTCAAATCCCATCCATGTTGAAAAGAGTATGAGGCCCAGTATTCGGGCCAGGATTACAGCTAGAATCGTACAACATTAACTATGCTTAGAATTTGTCTAGGTTAATAAAAATGTTCCGGTTAGACTACATCGCTTCCCCCAACTCCGACATCGTGTGGATGATGATGATGATGATGATGTTGATGATGATGATGATGATTGAGCTGATGATGTTGATGATGATGCAGCTGCTCGACCAGTTCACTGATGCCATCCACACCGATGCTCAACGAGGGCAGCGTCTTGTCCAGCACCAGCAGCGATGGCGGCGATTTGGGTGACGCCTCCGCGGACGTGACATCGTCCGTCAGATGGCCGGAGAGCAGTGAGAGGCCGCCAAAGTTGGGCGTGAGACTCATGCCGTCCAGGCAGAGCGAATGCAGTGCAGCATTGTCCGTGGCCAGAGACGGAGCCTCATAGGCAGCGGAGTGGCAGGCGGCGGAGGCGTCATGCTGCTTGTCATCCAGCGCCAGGCTGTGCTCCATGCTCAGTATGCAGTCCGCCTTGAAGCTATCGATCGTAAACTGATCCACGCTGAGAAATTTCATCTCATCGTAGCCCTCGTTCATGTCCAGATCGAGTGAGGCGCCAAATGCGCTCGACAGCGCCTGATGCTGCAGCGTGCAGACGTGTTGCTGCTGCGACTCCTGCAACTGTTGCTGCTGCGACGCCTGCAACTGTTGCTGCTGCTGCTCCGGCTGATGCTGCTCCGGCTGTGTGGACGGCGGGTAGGTGGACCACTCCATGGACAGACCGCTGCCGCCGCGTTCCAGGCCCAGATGATCAATGTTCAGATTGAGAAAAATGTTGGGCGACAGCCTGGAGGGCGAGAGCCCGCCCGTGCCGTAGGGCGCCTTCAGCTCATTGTCCAGCGAATTGGAAGACTGCGGCGGCGTATCCGGCAGCAAGGTGCCGCCGCCAGCTACAATAGCTCCGTATTAAGCCTGACCAAATCTTTGCCCAACTCCCTCTACCCTACTCACCCAAGGCGCTGTCCAGCTGGCCCAGCACAGCGCTATCATCGAACGCCACATCCAGCTCGAGTTGGGCGTCCTCCTTGTAGTCGCCGGCGGCGCCTAGCTTCTCCTGTTTGCGCCATTTGGCGCGTCGATTCTGGAACCAGACCTGAACGCGCGCCTCCGTCAGCTCAATGCGCACGGCCAGCTCCTCGCGAAAGAACACATCCGGATAATGCGTGCGCTGGAAGGCGCGCTCCAGCTCCTGCAGCTGCAGTGTGTTGAAGGTGGTTCTGGACGTGAATGGAGTAGGTAGAAGTTTTTAGCCCGAATCCTTCCACTTGGTGCGCAGCTTAGACTAAGCAAACGACTAGGCAGGTCCGCGCTAGCTGGTGTTTACTGTAGCTCACCTGTATCTACGCTGCTTGCGCTTCATTGTGCCTTTGTCCATGCGTCTAGCCTAAATCCTGCGTCCAGGCGCCAGGTGTGTGTTTCAGGTGTTTGTCTCTTGGTTTCTTGGTCTTTACACAATTCGTGACATACTCGCTAGCTTTTTGCTATTTTCTATTCTCTACTGTTTGTTAACGATTTCCAGTGACAGCAACAACAACGTGGGGCAACACTCCTAGGGCTTCCGCCCCTGCGTCCGCACCAAGTCAAGCGGATAACTGTACGCGCTCCAAGAACAACAGCTCGAGCTGCTTCAGAGTTTGATTGAAAACACAAAAAACAACAGCGCAATCGTCCTGGCTTGTAACTCCTTGTTAAGCCACAGTTTTAGCGGCACGTGTCTGGCTGTTGTGCCTCTCAAACTGTATTGTTAGTCTTCAGATATATCAGCGCCCCACCGTGCGGGGCAACGACGCGCATTCAACTGACGAACCGCTGGGCGGATTGGCGTTTGCGAGAGTTTATCGTCACGTCGAAGCCCTACAACTAGCTGCCACACGCACGCACACACACACACACACAGAGAGCACCTACCCCTTGGGGGCAGCAGCAGCAAATGCACCTGAATGTTAGTGCTAGACGAGCAGCCCATGAGCTCATAGTTGCTCCCAGCCTGGGTGGTTGGGCTGCCCGCTGCAAATGTCTGGGTCACTGGGTTTTCTCACTTCTTGTTTTTTTTTTTTCTATTCTCTATTTTGACTTTTTTCGGCACACGCATAAACACTTCAAGTAGCCGGGCTTAAAGCCAGTGCCCAGTCTATAAATAGTCAGTCCTCCCGAGTTCCTGATACTTGAGGTTCGCCCCGCCGCCAACCATTGTTGTATTGTGTCAACAGTTGAGCTCTTTGTTTGGCGCCCGCTGCGACTGCTACTGCTGCTGCTGCTGTTGCTGTTGCTGCTCTTACTGTCCAGGTGACGGGCCATAATGGACACGCCAGCCGCACACAATAGGTAATCCGAGCGCTTGGTGCCCATTGTTCGGTTGTGCCGGCCAGCGGCTATATAAACGCCCCACCTTGTCCGACAGAGCCGCAAAAGTAGCCAAACTCTGCAGCAGCACGGTTCAAGCCATGCCATGGGTGAGTTCAGCACGGCAAATATATCAATTCGGTGAAAAACAACAAGAACATTTTGCACTCAAATCAAGCAGAAAACTGGTGAAAATCTGTTCAAGTTGCCATTCACTTAAACTGAGCTTGACAAATCTTAATTCAAGCAGCCAACACAATATTCAAACAAAATGCTGAAGCTAAGAAAAGTTTCACTTTAAATAAAAACGTTTAACGCTTATTTTTAGTATGCAAATACTTATATCAAGTATTTTTATACTTAATTTAAGCAGGCTCAGAATAAAAATAATATTGAAATTTTAACGTGGTGAAATCCAGCATGAACATTGGTGAAATGTTCTAAATTTCTTAACATAAGCACAAAAAGCCTAAATCAAGAAGTTTGCGTTTCCAGTAATAACATCTTCCTAATAACAAGTCCTAAACAAAGCTAAATCAAAAACTGATGTTTGGAATTTCTTTTAAATCAAGACAGATTCATACTTAATTTAAGAAAGTCCAATAATATAAATAAAATCAAGTTCTATTTATAAAACAGAGTGAAATTAAGCACAAACATTGTCGAAATTCCGATTATCTAAAGATACTAGAAGAACTTTATAATAAATCCAAAAACTAAACAAATTACTCAATTCAAGTAACATTATTTATCTGAATTGAGAACGCTTTAAGCTTATCTTCAAGCATCGAAGTTCTTTAAATAAGTATAAAATTTTTAAAAGGAGCAAAGCCCACACTTAATTTACAAATATTTAAGAAATTGCTAATTCTTAAACATTTTCAAAACAAGCTTATACACACTTAATTTCAGAAAACATTAACATATTAAGTGACAAAAATGATTAAGCTAAGCACGAAATGGTGGCAAATGATGGGGAGATGGCGACAGATATAACATGAAAGATATATTTTTTATATATATATATATTGTTCTAGAAACTAGAAGTCAAGTTTGGTAACCCTAGCTTTTACAACATGCGAGATTTGCTCAAAAGACAGGATTTCGATATCGATTTTTATCGATTGCTTGTAAACGGGACGAGTTATCGAATATCGTATTGCACGTGCACTAGGAGCACCTACATTTAAAATTTCAAGTCTCTAGGTCTTATAGGTGGGGAGATCCTTGCGGTCATACATACATACGGTCGGATGGACGGACGGACGAACAGTCGGACGGACGGACGGACGGAAGGACAGACGAACGGACGGAAGGAACGACAGACGGAAGGACGGACGGACGGACGGAAGGACAGACGGACGGACGTACGGATGGAAGGACAGACGGACGGAAGGACAGACGGACGGATATGACTCGATCGACTCGGCTTGTCATGCTGATCAAGAATATATATACTTTATGTGGTCGGAGATGCTTCCTTCTGTCTGTTACAAACATTTGCACAAATACATTATACCCTTTTTACCCATATTTAATGGGTTTGGGGTATAAAAAGTAGATACTCATTTGAGAACATTTAATACTCCTATTGAGTATGCGAATTATTGCTCGAACATATGTGTACTTATTATTTAAATCAAAGCAGAATTCATACTTACTTGAAGATTATTCGGAAAATGAGAGTAAGTGCGCCCTGTTTCTCTGAGAATAAGTACCATAAGTGCGAGCTGTTTCTCTCAGTGTACAATTATTTCCTTCTAGATGGCCACTTTGCTAGCAGCGCTGGCGCTGCGCTGCGTTGTCAGCAGCAATCGGTTTGCCGCCTACGACGAGCTGACGGCTCCAATGCTCGCCCGGACGATGCCCAAGCGCTGCAGTCGCTTTCTGGACTGCGGCGACGGCGGCGATGGAAATCAGCTGGATGCAGTCGATGCGGATGCTGATGAGGGCACATCCAAAATGCTGAATGCGCTCTTTGGGCGGCCAGCGAGCACGCCCGCACCTGTGCGGCCGACGGAGGCAGCTCTGGCGCCTTACCAGCTGCCGCCGATGCACTACAACGACTTCTACGAGGATCTGCTGACCAGCAAGCGCAATGGTGCACACGCCGCCGGCTGTGATTGCAAAGTTATGGTGCGTCCACAAGCTCAACCCAACTCAGGCTCCATATTTATTTAATTCTTGTACGCAGAACGATCTGATAGATCTGGGCAGCACATATTTTCCACGCTATCTGATGAGCGCCATCTGTGAATCGCGTCCAGCGTTGGATGCCAAGTGCACGCAAGGCTCCAACTGCAAGCCGCTGGAGTATAAGGTTAAGGTGTTAACCCTGGAACCGAAGCCATCCGGCAATACGGCTGCAACATCGGCGCGTCTCTGGCTGCCCGAGGAGCTGACCCAGCTCTGGCAGTGGCAATTCGAGACGGTCACCGTCACAGCCGGCTGCTTCTGCACCAACTAGCCAAAACTTAAACAAATTTAAAGATCTATAAAATATACATATATACATATATAAAATTGCACAATAGAGCGTTCATAGAAAACGTCATTGTTGCTTTATTGAGCTGTTTTCGAGACCCAAAAGGGGGCTCTTCAAAAAGGTTTTCGATTCGAGTACAATTACTAAAGCTAAAAAGGCCACGTTAAAGTTCTAGCTTAGATTTTAAAAAGTTGCAAAGATTTCAGAAGCTAAACTCAAGCTGTCTTCTATCATATATAGTTCCCGCCCTGTTGAAACGTTGAAAAATATATGATATATATCAAGTATTCATGGTGATTGCCAACTCCTTGAAGCTGTCAATTCCTTTCTCCCCATTTTTGGTCTTTTTTTAGATTTATCTGTTCGCAGAACAACTGAACATTTTCTTGACAGCTTTCACAGTATATTCAAAGTTGAAAGTCTCCTCATTCAAATAGTTTAAAAAGAACAGACAGACGTACATGGTACATAACTTATATACCCTTTTCCCATTGGTGTAAGGAGCATAAAAACATACTGAATCATGACATAATTTAAGAGATATTACCTTAACGAATTTCTAGACAATTCCCAAATATAAAAGAGGCGTTCACTTTCTAGCGACAAACTCACAAATACAGCTGATATGTCTTCATATATATGATAAGCTGGATGAAATCTTTAGAACTTTGAACAAAATCTAGTCTTGAACAAACTTTCAATTTGAATTTTAAACAAAAACTAGACTACAACTTTAACAGGCCTTAGTTGTAACTGCTTGTCAAGGCACTTGGACGGTGTCGAACTACACACAATGGACGGCATACAGTGATAACTACTAACTAGTGGACAACACGAAATGGATACAAAAACTAATACAATTAAAATTACTTAGCTTCGTTGGAATGTGAATGTGCGTATTAGAAGTGCAAAATAAAAGTGCATTGCCTAGGGCACTATGCCACGCCTTATGAGCAGTCCGACGCCCAGGAGCGCGGCTAATAGCAACCGCATGTGGCTCTGTTGACCCGTCGCGCCGCTCTGCAAGAGATTACATATTAGTTAACGGACAGATATTTGGGAATACGAATAACAGTCAGATCGGGGGCAACGCCCACTTACGATAACAAAATAGTTGCATCTGTCGCCCTGGCAGCATTCGTTGCACGCCCAATCCTCATACCAGATGTGAGTGCAGTACAACTGCATATAGCGCCGACGCTTCGACTGGCACTGCTCCTTGGTCATGCAGCGTTTGGACACATAATATTGCTTGAGCGCGCCCTCGGAGAAGTAGGGCTGGCTGCCCCAGCGTATCTCGGTGCCGCAGACATTCTCGAACGGTTCGCAGGTTTTGATTGTGTTGAGGCACTTCTCTGTGTTGCCCGTCTGGTTGGAGCACACATAGCATTCGAGTCCCTGGACAAAATGCACTGCAAATGGTTTCCACATGTGTCATGAGTTTGTTTTTTTTTTTCTTTTTTTAAGGTGTGGCCAAATACTTACCCTGACTGCACAGATAGACGGCCGCTAGAGCCAACACAGCTACTTGCCAGGATTTCATGTTGCAGCTGGCGACAAATGCTGCGAGTTCAGTTAGCAAATAGCAAAAATAACAAATTTCGTAAATAAACGTCTTAATTGGATGAAATACCAACAACACGACAACCACTCCCACACAATTGCAGCGACCGATAACGATAGGCGTTGGCCGATAACGATTAGTGCACAACAAGTTGCTGCGCGGCATTTGCAACACTGAATTTCATAAAATGCCGCCATAAATAAATGGCTGCATATTAACAGTTAATACTCTTGCAAACGCTTAAAATAAATATATATACACTTTTAATAATTAGTAGCTTACCTTTTAGCTTCAATTGCCATTTGCCATAAAAACCGCTATTAATATCCGTGCTGCACTTCACAACACTGTTCCGATTTTTGCGCTGTTTTTTGCTGTTGCAGTTGTTGCTGCTTTTGATTTTGAGTGCCAGACAGACTGAACATGGCCAAAAAGGAACAAGAAAAGGTAACAGCTATGCCCATGGTGCCCATGGGCTACTGCAAGCTGGACACCCAGGTGGCCGGTCACACATTCGAGGCGACAAACGCGGCCGCCGTCGGGCTGCTCCAAGATGCGGGCGAAGGCCGCGTTTTCAAGCCTTTGGGCAAACCGGAGTGCGGCGTGCGTGAACTCAATTTCTATGAGTCACTGGCGGCGGCAATTGCGACACAAGCAGGTGCATCGCCCCCCGCTGCCAATAACCTGAACCTGAACGGCACCGCTGGCGGCGGTGAGGGGCACATCGAAACGGACCTCTCACTGTTGGCCGACCTGGCGGCGCACGTACCCCGCTACTATGGGCAACTGAAACTGGTTGTAAATCAGCGCGAGCACACATTTATCAAGCTGGAGGATCTGACGCACGGCATGGCCAGGCCATGCGTCATGGATGTGAAAATTGGCCGCCGCACCTGGGACCCATTGTCATCAGCACATAAGCGCGAGATTGAGGAACAAAAGTATGTCGTATGCAAACAGAATCTGGGCCTGTGCCTGCCTGGCTTTCAGGTGTACCAACCGGATGAGCAGCAGCCCGGTCAAAGTGTGCTCATTCGTCAGGGCCGGGACTTTGGCAAGAGTCTGAATGTGGCTGGCTTCCACAAGGCATTGGCCCAGTTCTTCAATGTCAACTTGCAGGCCAGCGATGTCCTGCTGCGCGAGGTGCTGCGCCAACTGCGCTCCATACGCGCCTGGTTCAAGCGACAGCGTCTGCTGCACTTCTATGCCAGCTCCCTGCTCATCTGCTACGACTTTGAGCAGCTGCAAAGGTTAGCCAAAGGCGGCAACAGCTCCAAGCAGCTGAGCAATGGCTATCATCCGGATCCCGCCCTGCCCACCACTGCGAATCAATGGATACGCGTGCGTTGCATAGATTTCGCACACATCTTCCCGGCCGAGGATGCGCAGCCCGATCATAATTATATGTTTGGGTTGCAGAGCCTCATCGATATAGTCGAGACAATGCTCCACCGATAGCAGGCATCCAAGGACTCCTCTTCCTGCTGGTCCAACACACATACTTGTATTAATGCTAAGCCAAAAGATTAGTTCGCAGCAGAGCTGTAATTACATAGAATGAAAACAAAAGACAATTCCCAATATATATATATATAATTACTTGGTTAAACAGGTTTAATTACTTATACAATTGCTCAGTAATTAAGCCGAAAATGTACTCAGATAACTCAATTTGTAATTAAAAAGTATTTCAAACAAGTAATTAACAACAACTGAAGACAAGTTGATTGAACTTTAATTACCAATGCGATTCCACCGTTCGGTTTTCCATATAATTATAATTGCTGGTAATTAAAGGCATTTAAAGGTAATTTAAAAACGAATCCAATTCCGCCATAGGTAATTACATAGTAATTATATTTTAATTACCATTACATTGTGAAGAAACTAGGAACATATATTTACAAATTTGAAATTGTAATCAATGGCAATAAAAACTATTACAATGAAATAATGTTCGATAATTGAATGCGAAAACTTTTGTAATTGCAATTATTAAAAATGCATTTAAATGAAAGTAATTACCCAAAAAAAGATGAGAATTATCCAAACATAATAACTCGAAAATTGATACATGTTTAATTGCTGGTAATTAAATATTATTTCAATAAAGGCAATAATTACAGATATAAAACAAGAAACAAAAAATAGTTCAATTACTTTTACAAATTTAAAAAATATTATTTTATTTATCAGTAATTATGCAAGCAGTAATTATGTCTCATTACTTACGTAGTTTTATTTCCTGGTTATAAATTTCCGTTTTTAATTAATTACCTTAATGATATAAATTCTATGAACTACTTATCAGCAAGCCAAATAATTGTTCAGTAATTATCTTAAAGTAATTATCATTACAGAAGTAATTGTCAATGTATTATCCAGTAATTAACAAGCAATTGACTTGGGTAAAAGTATTATTTTCTCAGCAAATTACTAAAGTAATTAACATGTAATTGATTAATTTCATATGATAATTAGTTGGTAATTAAAACCAGCTAGCTCAAAATTTGCTTTAACAACGTCTCTAAAAATATTTTGTATGCTAAAGGTAAATTGTGAATACTAGAATCATGTAATTGATGGTAATTAAAATGTAATTGTATTATATGCTGATAATTACTTGGAAATTAATTGTAAATTAACAATACAAAATCTTAAGCCACATTACATTGCCATTGTCAATGTAATTGCTGGTAGTTAAAAAGTAATTGTTAAATGTAATGATAATAATTACTTAGTAATTAAAGGTATATAATGAATACAACAGCTTAAGCATCATTACATTGCAATTGTCAATGTAATTGCTGGTAATTAAAATGTATTTCCCCAGTAATTATAGATTACAGCTCTGGTCCACAGTAGTTACTCGTCGCGCTCAGCTACTCTAAAAATGTAGAATAAATACTCGTTTTGTACATTCGCGCTATATTTGTGTATTCATCTTATCAAAATTACAATATAATTAGGGGCTATTGAGGGGTGTGCTGGAGATGGAGGCTGCTTAAAGCGTATAGTCCAGCTCGTAGCGCTCGTACTGGTTCTTGGGATCGTTGGTGATGCGTGGATAGCCCGCGATTAGCGCATCCTGGCCTCCAATATACAGCGAATTGTAGATTTTCCAGTAGACATCGCGCACCTTACGCGCCGGATGGAACAGACCCTGGAGCGTGTATTGCAGTATCTTAATGGAGCCCAACGAGACGCGCAGCCCATCCACCGAGTCCATGAAGGCCTGCACCAGATGCGGCGATGTCTCGAATATGTTGGGCCACACATAGTTGAGCAGATGCGTGAGTGCGTCCTCGCAGCCAAATCCATAGACGCCAAGAGACATGTGCTTGATGGCCGAACAGGCCGTTTGGCGATGCACCAGATCGCGATCCATTAGCGCATCCTCGAGCAGCGGGCACACCGCATAGATATAGTCCTTGCCCATCTCGCCAATGTACTCGAACAGAAAGGATAGAGATTTCAGTACGCCATTCTGTACATTCAGCTCCGGCACACGGTACTCATTCATCAGCGCCGGGAGCACGGTGAACGGACGACACGTCTCGGCGACAATGGCAATGGCGACGGTGGTGCAGACACGATTCTGACGCTCCTGCACCTTTAGGTTATTCAAAAGCGTGGCCAGCACATCGTGCGGACCAATTGCCTTGGCTATGTAGCCAAAGGTATTCACCGTGGCGCGCCGTATGGCCTTCTTGTGCGCCTTGAGCAGCTCCAGCAATTCAAAGCAGATGCGCATCCATTCGCGGGCGGACACATATTCCGGTCCGCGATCCGCAATGCGACCCACCAGATCGATGCAGTTCTCCTGCACCTTCTCGTGCCGGTTCTTCAATATAGGTGTGAGGCGGGGCAACAGATCTTTGATGGGCGGCGTCATCTTGGTCATGCCAATGACATTTACAATAGCTTTGAGCGCGCCCAATATGCTGCCCAACACCTCCGGATACTCCTCGCCCAAGTACTCGTAGAGCACAACACCCAAATGGCCCATCAGCTTCTCCTCCTGGCAGGTCTTCATGACCACGGCAATGCGCGAGATCAGATCCGCCGCCTGTTGACGCACCTTGGCGGATTTGTTGTTCAGACGCCAGAGTATGGTGCCACAAATCTGTGGCAAGTAGGGCTTGACACGTTTGCCCAGCTGATTGACAATGGTGCCGAATCCGTTCAGCATGACCACATCCTCGGTGGTCTGCTCCTGAAAGGCATAGAGTATGCCATCGATCAGCTGCTCCTCGAGGCGTGAATCGATATCCGCTGCGCCCAGATTGCCCATAATTTTCTCCACCGTTTCCATGACCATTTTACGATACTGTTCATTCTCGTCCTTCAGATCGTCCACGACACGATTGATTATCTCCGAGGTGCCCACCTTGTTGGCGATCTCAACGGTGGTATCGACCAGCTGGCGATAGTTGCGCCTGTCCAGCGCCATGCGGTGATTCCAAAAGAACTTGAAAAAGTGCGGCAATATCTCCTCCTTGATATACTGCGGCTCCACACCATCCGTGGCGCAACATTGTTTAACCACCTTGAGGACAATCTTCTTCATCTCCTCGTCGGGCGACTGGAATTCACGTATAAGAATCAGCATGACCTCACGTGTATAGTAGTTGGCATACTCGGCATCCATCAGCGGTATGAGATAGCCAATGGCCTTGAGGAACGCGGCGAGGCCCTTGCCACGATGCGTCCGTATGCCCTTCCAGAGCGGCTTGAGCACCGAGTCGAAGGACTCAATGCCATAGGGTGTGGCCGCCTCGGCCAGGGCTGCGATGGCCAGCGCTGTGATGGTGCGCACCTTTTGCTGCTCATCGACCAGGCCGTGCTCAATGATCTCCACCAGCGCCTTCAGATGTGGCAATATGGCGCAACCCATCAGTATGGCAATCTGTTGCACAATCTTGATGCCTGTGTGGCGCGCCTGCCAGGATTTCTTGGATTTGCACACGGCCTTCAGGAAGGGCAACAACGAGGGTATGCCCAAGGCGGAGGCGACCACGGCAAAGGCACGTGCTGTTGTATTTCTGACGTACTCATCAATATTATCAATATCCGGACGCATGGTGGAGATCATGGTGGCCAAACCAGCTGCCTTTGCCAGATTCGATATGATCTCCCGACCCTCGATGCGCGCATAGTAATCCTCATCGATGAGCAGCGGCTCAATGACCACCAAAATCTTGTGCACAAACGGACGCACCAGATCGTCCAATTTGTACAGCACACGATCGATGACCTTCACCAGCAAATGCCGTTCCTGATCCTCCAGCGTCGGCGACATGAGCAGCGGCAGGATTTGATTGAATAGCGGCCCGGCGCCAAATTCACGCGCCTTGTCCGTCATCTGACGCAGCGCGGATTTGCGCATGGGCGGCGAACCGTTCTTAATGGTCAGCAAGAGTTTCATGATCTTGCGCTCCTTGAGCTCTTCGGGCGAGAGCGCATCCTCATTAACATCCACGAGCAGCTTGTCAAAGTATTGTGCATCCTCGGGCTTCATGAACGGCAGATTCTGGCCCTTTGGCTGGTTGTCCATAAATTTGGCGTTTTTATCCTCCACCTGGATAAAGAAGCCTGCGGGCGTGCCCGCAATCGGTGTGGGCGTGGCCATTAACTTGCGGCCAGGCGTGCGCAGTGGCACGTATCCGGCAGGCGGCGGCAATATCTTATAGCCCGGCGGAAACATTTGATCCAGCTCCTCGTCGGTGTAGGGTCTGTTGCGCTCATCGATTTCCTTTTCCCAGCGATAGGCCTGCAACTGTTCCGGTGTCATGGCCGCAAGTGCGCCCGGTGTGGGTGTGGCCATGGCCATTGCCTTTACGCCCACGGGCGTACTGCCGCCAGGTGTTAATAGGGGCGTGGCATGGCCAGGTGTTGCATGAGGGGTCATGCTTGGCGTCATAGCGCTGGCATTGCTGGGCGTTATCCCAGCCGGCGTCGCATTCGACGGCGTCTCATCCCATCGCGAGCGTCGCTTGGAGGCGCCGCCCGGTGTGGACTCTATGGAAATGCTCTCGCCGGCGCCGCTGCCGCTGCGATCCGGCTTCGGGGTCTCTGCCCAACCGCTGTGCCCGGGCGTTTCACGCTCCGTCTTTGGTGTCTCGTCCCAGCGATTTCTACGCGCTGACTTCTCATGACCGGGCGTTTCGTGGCCAGGAGTCATGGCGTGCGCCGGTGTTGCATCCCATATACGAGTGCCCAGACCAGGCGTCGCACCAGGCGTCTCGCTGCCCTTATGCCCGGGTGTCTCATCCCAGCGATGATCTCCGGGTGTTTTCTGCAAGCAAATGAGTAGCAAGGAGTTTAGCTCGGCTCTCTTGGTAAAGATTTAATTTATTTGCACTTACGTCTTCCCAGGTGGGCGTTGCTGCGCTGCTGGGCGTGGCTGCCACTTTGGCGGGTATAAAACTATCGCTGACCGTCTGATCCCAGCGGCCACGCTTGCGTCCTCCGTCCTTGGCGGCCGATTCACCATTCGAGGATTTAACCAGTGTGCCCTCCTTGGACTTCTCCAAGATGCGACGCCGCAGCTCGGACTCCTCGCCCTTTAGCATCTGCTCACGCATGATGTCTGTATAGGTACGGGAGCCTACATCCGGGGTTTTGCCGCCATCGGCAAATGGATCGGCACGATCCGGCGAAATGATAATGCGGCGCCGCTTTTGTCTGTACTCATCCTCGCGATCCGCTATGGTCGGTCGCCGGTGTTCGGCCATGGGATCAACGTCCTCCTTGCCCTGGGTCACATCCTTCAGCACAGACGTGGGCGCCGTGTATGTGGTACGCTTCTGCGGCACTGGAAAGCCATCGTCTTCCTCATCTTCATCGCCATCCTCATCGTTAGCCGCGATGGATGTGTTGTAGCCCTCGTAGCGACTCTTGGCCCCCTTGCCCACAGCGGCCTCTTCGTCGTAGAGATCGGCGTCAAAGAAGCCGCCGCTGTCCAGCAGCCCAACGCCTGCTGCCGCTGCATTGCTCTTGGCAAGCTCTGTCTTCTTGGCCTGTATATCCGAAATTTGCGCCTCAATGTCTGCCAAACGTTTTTTTAATACATTTAAAATTGATTTTCTTGGCACAGCGAAAACAACTCGGACGCTAATCGAGGTAACGCGGCATGTTTTTAAGCACTTTACGTGTACATCAGCATTGGTTCGAGTTGTAGCTCACTATATTTGTATTCTATTATCACTTACCTTCATGAGTACGCGGAATATTTTCCATTTTTATCAATTTTTAGGCAACAAACGTATGAAAAACGCGTACATGAAAATTGTGCGACAGTGCTGTGAAATGCTTACAGACAGCACACATTAAGCAGCACTTAAATGAGTTCCAGTCGTTATCGATAACAGACTTGCTGTAGCTCGCTTGGCGCTGTTAATTAAAATACGGGATAAATTCAAAATATGGCGCAATTTTCTCGTTTGTTATCAAAACTTTGTGCATTCAAATTAAATTTTGGTTCTTAAACACCTTAACCCTTTGTAAAATTCTAATCTTTTAAATATTTACGAAAATCGAATGCTGTCTAGGCAAACATTTTCGGCCGCTGTTAATAACATGTTATCTCACTGTTGCGCTAACAGTCGAGCGGCGCACGTGTTTTGACTTTGTTGTTTTTCTGTTTGTGCGTGTTTTCTTTTCGATCGCAAAATGTTGGCCAAAAAACAGAAAGTTGATGAGCAGCCTGAACAGATGATGTCCACGCCCCAAACACTGCAAGCACGCCTCATATCCGACACAGGCGAGGAGGCGGGTCCGCCCATAGATCTGCCGGCGGGCATCACAACACAACAACTGGGCCTCATCTGCAATGCGCTGCTCAAGAATGAAGAAGCGACGCCCTATCTGTTCTTCGTGGGAGAGGATGAGATCAAAAAGTCGCTGGAGGACACGCTAGATTTGAGCAGCGTGGACACGGAGAATGTCATTGATATTGTCTATCAGCCACAGGCCGTATTCAAAGTGCGTCCGGTGACGCGCTGCACCAGCTCCATGCCCGGTCATGCAGAGGCGATAGTATCGCTGCACTTTAGCCCCAATGGCGTCCATTTGGCCAGCGGCAGTGGCGATACCACTGTGCGCCTCTGGGATCTCAACACAGAGACGCCGCACTACACCTGCAGCGGCCACAAGCAGTGGGTGCTGTGCGTCGCCTGGGCGCCGGATGGGAAGCGTCTGGCGAGTGCTTGTAAGGCGGGCAATATTATCATTTGGGATCCGGAGACGGGTCAGCAGCAGGGCCGCACATTGACCGGCCACAAGAAGCACATCAATGGGCTCAGCTGGGAGCCTTATCATCAGAATCCCGAATGCCGCAAGCTGGCATCGGCGAGCAGCGATGGCGACTGTCGCATCTGGGATGTCAAGCTGGGACAGTGCCTGCTCAACATTGCGGGGCACACGAATGCGGTTACGGCTGTGCGCTGGGGCGGCGCTGGCCTAATCTACACCTCATCCAAGGATCGCACAGTCAAGATGTGGCGCGCCGACGACGGCATACTCTGCCGCACCTTCTCCGGCCATGCGCATTGGGTGAACAACATTGCACTCAGCACGGACTATGTGCTGCGCACGGGACCCTTCCAGCCTGCCAAGGATCGTCAGATGGCGCAGATCAGCGGAGAGCGTGAGTGGCATCCACTTAACGCTCGAATTTCAAACTAATCCGAAGCAATTTCCATTTGCAGCCGAGGAATTGCGTGCTGCTGCTCTGAAGCGTTTTCAGGCCGTTTGCCCGGATGAAGTGGAGTCCCTGGTGTCCTGCTCCGACGACAACACCTTGTACTTGTGGCGCAACAATCAGAACAAATGCGTCAACCGTTTGACTGGCCATCAGAATGTGGTTAACGATGTCAAGTATTCGCCGGACGTTAAGCTCATCGCCTCCGCATCCTTTGACAAATCCGTTCGACTTTGGCGCGCCCACGATGGTCAGTTCATAGCCACATTCCGCGGTCATGTGCAGGCTGTCTATACGCTGGCTTGGTCGGCGGATTCGCGTTTGATTGTCTCCGGCAGCAAGGACTCGACGCTAAAGGGTGGGTCTCATTTTTATTTTAGTGTACAGCTTGTGCTAACTGTTTGATTGATTGACCGTCCAACTGGTAAAATATCAAGTTGGTCAATCAACTGTCCGATTGATTGACTTGCTTGCGGAATTTACTTAATAGCTGACTTTTTGAGAAGCTGACAGAATGAACAAATAATTTCTGATTGATTGATCTAGTACTTGATTGACGAATTGATTGATTGACCGACTTGCTTATTGACTAAGTGAACAACTGATTAATTGATCACAATACCAAATCTCAACCCAATTGCAGTTTGGAGCGTGCAAAGCAAGAAACTGGCGCAGGAGCTGCCTGGACATGCGGACGAAGTGTTTGGCGTAGACTGGGCGCCCGATGGCTCCCGTGTGGCCTCCGGCGGCAAGGACAAGGTGATAAAGCTGTAAGTTGCAAACACAATTAAAAACATGAATCGTATCAAACATCACATTTATTGCCATTCTTTCAGATGGGCCCATTGACAAGCATGCTATGTACATATAGAATCGATATATACTTATATATGTATTTAATTAAAGTTGGTACCCTGAATTTAACTGTGTCCGTCAGTCTGTCTAGATGCTCTGCCGCTGCAGAGTTTTCAGCGTCTGCTGAAGGCTGCTCTCGAAGGCCTGCGCATCGTGGAAATAGGTGGCCGGGACCGCGGACTCCGATAGCAGCGCCCGTTCGGCTGATACAAAGCCCGCCGCCACGCACTCGTCCAGGCTGTACTGCTCCTTGAGCAGCGCCGTTATGAAGCCGGCACAGAAGCTGTCGCCCGCGCCGGACACATTGACGATGTTGTGCAGCTTGGGTGCCGCATAGAAGCGCGTGATGTGCCCACAGCTGGGCGAGAGTGCGAGCAGCTTGCTTGCATCGAATTCGGCATCGGAGCGAATGCTGAGCAGGACGCCGTGATCGCCCAGCGTGGCAATAATACAATTGAAATGGCACTCGATGCGTTGTAGCAGCTGCTTCGCCTGCTCCAAAAGCTCTGAGCGCTGCACTTTTGTGTCCGGCTGCCAGTCGACTGACTGCCCCGTGATGGTCTCCACAATGGTCTTCAGCTCGTGCATGTTCGGCTTGAGCAGGCGTATGTGCTCGATGAGCTCCGGGCGCAGCCTGAAAGGTTTGCCGGCTATAAACATGTCCGTCGGCTCAAAGAAGACGGGCACTTGGTAGCGCTGCGCCAGCTGCAGCAAGCAGGCCATCGCCTGCTCCGAGATGTTGCTATCCATCACAATAAGTGGCGCGGCGCGGAATAGGTCGGCACGTGCCGCCAGCACTTCGGGTGTAATGCTTCTATGCACCTCCATATCGCCCAGGATGAGCTTACAATCGCCGGCCTGATCGAAGATCAGCGAGCAGAGGGATGTGGCGCGCTTCTTATCTACGATAAGGCCACTTTGCAGCGCCGCCGGCATCAGTTGGCGCAGTATATGTCCCAGCTGATCGCCGCCAACGGCCGAAATTAGATTCACATCGCCATACAGCTTATAGATGCCCTCGGCCACGTTGCGTCCAACGCCGCCGGCTGCCTGCTTGGTGACAGCCGAATAGGTGGCACCGTCCAGCTGCATCTGCCGCTGCTCGGTGACCTTAAAGCTCAAATCCAGTATGGAGGCGCCCACAACTAGAGGTTTCTTCAAGCTACTCTTGGCGATGGCAGGTGTGCTCCGGCTGCTAGCTGCCAACTCGCAGGCAATTTGTGCGGCCACGGCCGCATTGTTCCGGATCAGCGCAATGTTCGCCTGCAGACTGCGCCCCTGGGTTAGCTGTGAGATGTGGGCAAGCAGAAAAGGCGTGACCTCCTTGCCACTAATGCCCTGTGCCTGCGCCTCAGCATTGGCTGCCTGGATGGCCGCATCTATGTCAGACTTATTGGCGGCATATTCAGCTGGTATGGGCACGCCTATAAGCACGCCGGACTGTAGTTCCAGCTGGCGCCAGGCGCGCAACAGCTGCGCCGCATGCGCAGCTGTGGGCAGATTGTAGGGCACCTTCGAGCCGCTGTCACGCGTATAAAAATCGGGAAACACACCGCCTGTACTCTCATAGCTGGCCACGCACACGCCCTGCGTCTCCAGATATTCGAGCGTGCGCGGTATATCCAATATGGACTTGACGCCGCTGCAGACCACAGCCACCGGCGTGCGGCCCAGCTCGACTAGATCAGCGGACACGTCCAATGTGATGTGACCCTCACGATGCACACCGCCAATGCCGCCCGTCGCAAAGATGGGGATGCCCACGCGATGTGCCACAATCATTGTAGCAGCTACCGTTGTGCCTCCACTTTGCTGCATCGCCACCACATAGGGCAGATCCCGGCGTGAGCATTTGATGACCTCCTCGCGTGGCTTTTGCGCCAGCTCCATGAGCTCCTCCTGCGTGAGGCCAACTTTGATGCAGCCATCAATGATGCCAATGGTGGCTGGGATGGCGCCCTTGTTGCGCACCTCCTGCTCCACCTGCAGTGCTGTTTCCACATTCTCTGGCACGGGCATGCCATGCGTTATAATTGTCGACTCGAGAGCCACAACAGGATGCTTCTGTGCCAGGGCATGTCGTACATCTGGATGCACAACTATGTGCTGCCTGATGGAAAATTTGCGGGTTCGGAGCACACGTATGCCGTGGCTGAAACATTTCTTTAGAAGCATTTGGTTATACCGAAAATTATGGCACTGAAATGATCGTAATTTTAACTGTAATACCGGCTTGAGCTCAGTTTACTTTCATGCTGAAAATTGTCAACAAACTCTTTACACAAACATATTCTAATAAGACTTCCATGTGGTGAGCACAACAAGTGTGTTTAACTGGCGGGCGGCAGCTGTTTTTACACTATGCAACACTAGCACCAATATTAAATTTGGTATTTTTTATGTGCACGGTGAAAAACACATCGATAGCTATTAAGCGAGGCTAAGAGTGAGCCACACAAATTTGTGTGTTATTCCTTTCCATATTAAAACAATTACATTATAATTGAATTTTTATATTATTTATTTATTTAAAAACGTGCTTTTAAAAATAGTCATCTGGTCACACTTGCTATCGATATTAAGCCGCCTATCGCTGCGTTCGATATATTTGCTTGCTTACAATCCGCGCCATCTTGGCATCATTTTGTTTGCGTTTTTGTTTTAAACGAATGGCAATGGATTTCAATCAGAGCGCCTACAACTTAGAGTTCTTTAATTTCACGCCGGAACAAATCTCCGCCGAACGTAGGTTGCATTTCACTAAACTGACAAAAACTCTGAATCACGTATTTAATTTTCAGGTGACTCTCTGGTGCAAACTCTCATCGGCCGAGCGGTTGAGACAACCATTCAGAAAATTAAAACGCCCGCCACATCCGAGTTGTTGAATCAGAAAAAGGACGCCGTCATAAGCCTCATGTTGGAGGCGTGCCAGGTGAGACTGGATGGCCTGCGCGAGCTGGACAAAAGAAACTTTGAGGTGCCGCCGCATGTGCTGCAGATTAAGGACTTTGAGCTGGAGCAGCAGTTCTCCAGCGAGGAGGAGGAAGCAAAGACAGCCAAAGTGGAAGAGCTGAAGCTGCGCTACCGGCAGGTGAGTGCAAAATAAAGCCAATTCAAGCTCTGCCTAAACTCACTATTTGATACTCCGCTCCAGAACATGGCCATGCTGGCCGAGCTGGAGGCGGAGCAGGAAAAGTACACGGCCATTGAGCCGCTCGTGCAAAGAGAGCTGGAAATGCATCAGCAGGTTTACGCAGCCTGCGCCAACTGTGACATTAAAAAGATACACACTCTCGCAACGCTCATGGCTAAGGATCAGAAGCTGTTGTAGGTACCTAAATCTAGTTATCCTTTAAGTAATATCAAATGTATTCAACCCATAAGGCTCTCTTGAGCCAGGCTTTCGTGTATCAACGTAGTCTTAGATATAGCAAAAAAAAAAAGGTCTGTTAATTAATAATTAAGCTTGTTTGTTAACCAACATTAGGGCTAGATATGTGAAGCGAAGGCTCGCGTAGGCAGAGACTTTGTTAATACATGTTTTTAAGTAATAGACAAACTAGTTAATACAAGAGATGATGTATTCATTTAGTTTTTCTAATGCTTACATATATCTCTATGTCAATGATAAATGAAATGAATCCATTTTGATTCAAAGAACATTGCAATTTGTGAACTTGTCCGTTTCCCTTTTACTTTTCAATATCATAATATTAGCAAATTCTATTCAGATTTAAAACATTTTTGCCTTGAGAAGTTGCCTGCTTAAGCAAGCTGCCTCTCAGCAGAGCATTCAGTGTACTCTATATTTAGAATAAACTATATTTTCTCGAAAAAATGCGTCACTCAAGCGAATTTAAGTGCCCTCGCAGCGGCCATTATATTTCTGATAGGAGACGTGTAACGCATTAGGGAAGATTTTAAAAGGTTTAAAGATTTTTATAAGTATTCACATTCGAGCCGATATATATGTCTATTTACGTGCAGGCTTATCCTTAAAACTATCTCGATAAGCCTTTGCATAGGGTCCGTCTTTCTTTTGCATGTTGTACATATATCAATATCTCTGTATTATGATATATGCTGTCATCGAAACGATCTGACAAAATGATGTTCTTGTACGAACAGCTTATGTGGCATTATATATATTTTAAGATTTCTTAAACAAACCTTGCATTTATAAGTTTAATCATGCTCTTATGGGAACAGTTGGTTGAACAATGAATACCGAAATGAATCATTCAACAATTGAGTTCCTGTTTGAAAAGTGGATTTGTTTTTCACGATATCTTGAGCAAAATTTCCACACACGGGTTTTACCATATATCCTACATAAGCATAAGAAACATCTTATCTATATTGGACTAGTATATTATATTATATAGTTCTAATGAACACATTGGTCGATAGTTGAGTTATTGTCTGAAAAACTGTTTGACTTCTAAGATATGTAGAGTATGCTTATCAAAAATTAGCTTTATCTAAAGTATTTACAAAATCTTAATAATGGATTACTATATCAGACAGTTCTCTAAAAGGAAAAGGTCTAGGATTCAGTTCTCGTTTAAAAAACTGTTTTGCTTTGGATATAAGAAAATCAAATAAGAGTCTTACTCTCTTGCTAGCATATGAGTCAGTTCCTGAAGTTCCATATTATATATCATCTAAAGGAGAAATCTTTAAGGGTATTTAAGTTTCGGCATGTCGCATATTATGTACTTTAATGTTTAGCTATTCGCGAAACTATCTGACCACATTAATAGATTCCCGCAGAGCGAAAGCTTACGCTGTGTGCTGATGCTTTCTGGTGGCTATTTTTGATGCAGTGCGTCCGAGATGCGGTTGCGTGTTTCCAGTCAATAGTTCAACAGCCGTTGAGGATGCGAATGCGCTTGGCCTGCATGTGTGTGTGTGTGTGCGTGTGTTCGAGTGTGCGTTTGGCACGATCGGAGCGCAGCCACACGCCGAGCTGAGATGCTGCACAGAACTCGGAAAACTAGAGATTCTGCGTCTATTTATAACATTGCGCGACATTTTCTTTAATTTTCTTACCTTTTTTTTTTTGCGTATTCAAAAACAAATATGCAAAAAGTGCCACAAAAATAAAGCAGGCGAGTGAGAGAGGGGGAAATAGCGAGAGCGAGAGAGAGAAATGCGCGTTATTAATAAAAGCAGCGCTGCTTTGGTTGGGTCTGGCTGGTCGAATCGGATCGGATGGGATCGGTCTTTTGGTGTGGCTCGGTTTGGCCCGGCAGCTGCATTTATTCGCATTTGGCTCTTGCGTCCGTGGAGTTGCAGAGAAAAGCAAAGAACGAGAAGAAAAATAGCTAAGAAATATCTGAGGTAATCTCTTGACATGCCGCCCGGCCATTTTATGTAACTAAATATGCATCTATATTATGTAGAGATTCGCCAGCATGAATGTGGAGAAGCTGAAGCGGCTGCAGGCGCAGGTGCGCATCGGTGGCAAGGGCACGCCCCGTCGCAAAAAGAAGGTCATGCACCAGACGGCGGCTACCGATGACAAGAAGCTGCAGAGCTCGCTCAAGAAGCTATCCGTTAGCACCATACCCGGCATTGAGGAGGTCAACATCATCAAGGATGACCTCACGGTCATACATTTCAATAATCCCAAGGCGCAGGCATCGCTCTCGGCCAATACGTTCGCCGTCACCGGCCACGGTGAGACGAAGAAGATTGTCGAAATGCTGCCGGAGATTCTGCCACAGCTGGGCCAGGAGACGGTCGTACAGTTGCGCATGTATGCCAACTCTATGTCCAATAATCAGAAGGCCACGGCCGACAGCGGCACAGCTGCAGCTGCAGCTGGCGAGGACGATGATGATGATGATGTGCCCGATCTGGTGGGCGACTTTGATGAGGTGGCCAAGCTGGAGGCGAACAAGCAGCAGGAACAAGCAGCTGCCGGCCAGGGAAAGGCGCAGCAGCCAAAGCCAGCCACAGAGAAGCCCAAGGAGGCCAAGAAAACCAACAAGGCAGACAACAAGGCGGACAAACAGCAGCAGCAGATGCCGTCCGGTAAACAGGAGCGCAAGAAGCAGCAGCCACAGATGGACAAGAAGAGCGAACCACAGAACAATAAGGAGGCACAGCCTGCTGCCAAGGAGGAACAGCCGAAAACTGCAGCAGTTGCTGTGGACACTCAAAAAAAGGAAACCAAGAAGCCATCACCGGAGCCCAAAGCAGAGCAGCCCAAGCCGGTCGAGCCGCCGAGCCAAATCGCAGCACCTGCTCCAATCCCCAGCCCAGTCGCAGCAGTGCAGGCGAAGACCCCGCCTGCTGTGCAAACATTGGCACAAATCGTAGCCGCTGAGCCGGCCAAGCCGGCCGAGAAAAAAGAGATCCCAGCCAGTGCACCGGCTGAGCAGAAGCCAGCTCCAGCGCCAGCCAAGGTGGAACTGAAAGCTGAAGCAGGCGCTGCCAAGCAGGAGCAGAAAACAACCACAGCTGAGCCTGAGAAGAAACCGGAGCCCAAACCGAAGGAAGCCAGTCCACAACAGGCTACTCCGCCGCCAGTCAAGCAGGCAGCACCAAAGCAAGTGACGCCACCACCGGCAAAACAGGTCACGCCACCAGCAGAAGCTAAAGCCTCAGTGGAACAACTGAAGCCACAGCCAGCTGCAACTACGGCTAAGCCGGCAGAGAAGAAACCAGAGGATGTTAAGGCGGCAGCACAACAGGCAGCTCCCAAGCAAGTGACGCCATCTACGGAGCCCAAAATTACCGTCGAGCAACAACAAAAAGCCGCAACTCCTGCTCCAGCAGCAGCATTACCACTAGTTGCCTCAGCGGCAGCTTCAGCTGTAGCAGCAGCTCTAGCTCCAATTACACCACCAGCAGCAGGCCCGGGAACAGCCCCAGCTCAGACAGCAGCTCTAATTACAGCAGTTCCAGCTCCAACAGTAGCTCCGGCTCCAACTGCAGCTCCAGCAGCAGCTCCAGTTCCAACATCAGCTCCAGCTCCAATAACACCACCAGCTGCAGCTCCTGCTATAGCTCCTACTGCACAACCAGCTGCAGCTCCAGATCAAATTGTAACACCAACAGCAGCTCCTGCTACTGCATCAGCTCCTGCTTCACCACCAGCAGCAATTCCTGCCGTAGCACCGCCAACCGGAGCTCCAACAGCAGCTCCAGCAACTGCTCCTGCTGCAACTCCAGCAGCAGCAGCTGCTCCAACACCAGCTCCTGCTACCCTACCAACAGCAGGTCCAACTCCTGCTGCATCACCAGCATCTGCTCCATCACCAGCTCCTGCTGCACCAAAAGCTGCAGCTGCAGCTCCAAAAACCGCAGCTGCTGCGAATGGCAAAAAACAGGAAGCAGCTCAAAAGTCCAAGCAGCCTAAGCCTGGCCAGACACAACAGCAAACCCAAAAGCAGCCACAGCCCAATAAACCACAACAACAACAACAAAAGCAGACGGCAGCCAAGCCCACAGTCGCACCCAAACCTGAGACGGCATCTGCCAAGCCAGCTGGACCGAAGCAGCCCGCAGGCGCAGCAGGCACTCAGCCGCAACAGCAGCAGCAGGGCAAGGGCAACAAGGCATCGCCACCAAAGCAGCAGCCAGCAGCTGCCAAATCTAATCCCCAGCAGCAGCAGCAGCAGCAAAAGGCTGGCGATGGCAAGCCCAAGACGCCGGCAAACACGCCCAATTCGCAGGCCTCGCCCAAGGCGTCGCCATCACCCAAAGCGGGCGCTTCGCCCAAGTCGACATCCCCCAAGGCGGGCACACCGACGACCCCCACAGCTGTCGCCCAGCCACAGCCAGCACCGGGCACTGGTGGCGCCAATTAAATATGATTTCAATGCATTTTCAAAAAGCAACGTTCGACGCTGCAATCGCAGCCGAGGTATCGATAGCGTGCTGCAAATGCAACGCTGCAGTTTATCGATATTGCCGATACGATTTTTATTTTGTGACGATTACATTTTCTATTGAAAAATAAACAATTTAAAAAATAACACCTTATAAGATGTTACCCAACTCAGCTACTATTGCTGCTTGCGCGCCGCCGCCGGCTGCTCACCTTGTTCACCCTGCTCCGGATTTAGTTTCCACATGGCGTAGTTCAGGGCGGTAGCAAATCCCAACCAGGCCATATACGGCACAAACAAAAGCCCGGCCGTCTTGTTCACACGATAGAAGAGTACACCACATGCGCCGGCCGCCGCTGTTAGCGCCACAATCTCAATAAGCGCCTGTGGATGACACACAATAGATAAGAATCAGCACACTCGAAGGTCAACTATAATGTCTCAACTTACGCCCTTGATGTTATGCTTGCCAAAGAATATCGGTGTCCAGGCCCAGTTGAGCGCCAGCTGTGTGCCGTAGGCGATCAATGGCAATTGAGCATCGCCGCTGAAGCCGCCGCCGTCGCGCCACACCAGGTAAGAGCCATAGCCCATGCCGGCGTACAGTGATGTCCAAACGGGTGCAAACAGCCAGTTAGGTGGTCGGAACGAGGGAAAATTCAGATTCGAATACCAATTTTTTATGTGCCTGCGCGTCAATGCGCCATTAACAATGCCTCCCACATTCGGCAAGATGACAGCGCCCGCAATTCTCAATGCGGTTTTAGTTGCGGTTTCCTCAGACATTTTTCGCGTGCTGCTTTTCCAGTGCTGCAAACTGAACTATTTGCTGTAACTGTTTGTTTCTAGCCTACGAATGCGACGCAATAATGGAAAGCAGCTTGTTGCTTGCCGGTGACTTCATATATCCAGTATGCGTGTGTGTGCTTGGGTGTGTGTGTGTGTGTGCATACATTTTATTGCTGCTGCTCTCCGAGTGTATGTGTATATATGTATGTATGGGTGTGTTTACAGATAGTGGACTTTTGCACTTAAACACTGTGCTACAAGATACTTGAACTTTTTAATTATTGCAAAATATATGCAAAAAATAAATGTACATTAGCTGAGTTAATATATATATGTGTATTATAATATATTTTGTATAGAATTTTTTTACACAATATGATATTAAGCTGACATATGTTCATATGTGTATTTTACATATAATAATACAAAAGTCTCTGCCTGATTCCAGACAGAAGAAAGGGTTTTTGAAAATATTCAAACATTAATATATTTATATACATGGATTGTTCTCAATCACATTTTGTGCTTTGTTGCCCACTGTAATTTGTTTTTAAGCTTTCATGTGCGTAGATTCAGAGAGGGGCGATCGACCGTAAATCTGATTAAGAGCATGCAATTAGTTTTATGATTGTGAAATAGTTGATTTTCAAGTATATCTAGAATAATTATACTAATTGCAATATGATTCAGCCAGGGCTGCAAGAACTGCCAGGAACATGGCTTATGGAGGAGCCATGGCAACGGCCAGCGGGATTTGTTTGGCCCAAAACGGAACATTGAAAGGATACCAAATATCAACGGCCAGAAATGACGCTCTATTTCGATACGAAAATCGAGTTCCTGGACTCGGATGCAGTGAGCACCATCAGCAGCTGGCATCCCAATGAGCCACTGTTCGCGGTGGCCTCCTACAGCCAGGAGCGCGGCGGCAGCGTAACCATTTTTGCGGATACCGTGAGTTTTGCCATGAAAAAAACTTCTTCTTTTATCCCGCTGCTTGCACATTTTCAGGGCGAACCGCAGCGGGATGTCACGTATCCAGTGCACGCCAGCTCGCAGGCAACGGCCTTGTGTTGGCATCCGGAGAAGGCGCTGCTGGCCACCGGTTGGGAGCATGGCGATATACACGTCTGGTTTGCCGGCCATAGGGAATTCGCCAGCGTTAGCGGCCCCCACAAGGCGGCAATTGTGCTGCTGGAGTTCAGCGAACAGGGCGGCCGCATGGTCACAGCGGATGCCCTCGGCCTGGTCACCGGCTGGCGCTGCGATGGCCAATATCAGTTTCTGACCATGTTCTCGCATGATCTGCGCGAGCCTTTGCTCCTGATCTGCTTTCGCCGCACCGTCGAGAGCGAGCTGCGCGAGGAGATGGCCAGTCTGGCCAAGGCAGCGGTCGCTGGCGATGAGAATGCTCTGGACACGCTGACCAATTGGCGGCCGCGCACGGCGGCGCGTGGTCACTCGGGTGTCCGGGACAATCACTGCTTCTATGCGTGCACGCAGGGCGGCGTGGCCTACTATATCAATCAGGGCGGCAGCTGCAGCGAGGTGCTGAAGAGCGGGCCGCAACAGCCGAGCATTCTGCAGATGCTCTGGCATCCCAAGAAGTGGGCACATCATTCTGCTTTCCATTTGCTCGAGAAATAATGCCTTCAACATTTCTTTTAGGGATGCGGTCATTTGCCTGCTGGATGATCTGACCATCACGCTGTACTTGGTGGAGTCGACAGGCATCTTGACGGAACTGGAGCGCGTCAAGCTGAGCGGGCGCGGCACGAACCAGCATGGCGCCATAGCCTGGGCGGGCAACAGCTTGGCCATCATCACGGGCGATCTTACCGTGCGCATCTGGGACATTGAACGCAGTGATAATTATCTGCTTAAAATGGATTTGCCCAGCTCCAGCCTGACCGCCAGCTCCTCCCTCAACAACAACAGCAACAGCAATGACTTTTTTAGCCATGAGACGAGCGTGGAGAGCAAGAGCAACAACAACAATCTGCCACGCAAGATGTCCAGGCACCTTCAACTTAACTCCAATGAAATGTTCACCTGCCTCGCCTACAGCAACAGCAACCAGACCCTGTGCGCGGCCACCAATCTGGGCAATCTGTACACCTGGAAGCGCACGGTGAGCTGCTTTGTCAGCGCACCGGAGGATGCCTGGCAGCTGGGCAACATATCGACGCTGGCACGGCAGGGCGCAATCAAGAGCTGCTCGTGGGGCTACAATGAGCTGGCCAAGCCGTGCATTTTGGTCAACTGTTTGTCGAGTGTGTTTATGTTAAAGGAGCAGCCCCTTCTGGCCAGCCACACGCGCAGCCTCTGGGCGGTGCAGTGCTCCGCGAAATCCGTGCAGCTGACGCACTGCAGCGGACGCCAGTGTACGGTGCAGGCGGATTTTGCGGTAACTGCGCTGGCCTTAAACGACCTCAGCCTGGTCGTGAGCAACGGGCGCTCCATATCCTCATACAGTCTGCAGAAGATTGAGAAGAGCCTGGACGAGTTCGATGAAATACTGGAGGCTTCCGGCGCCGGTTCCAGTGCCTCGGTGAAGAGCTCGCCAGCATTGAATGTGCGGCTGATGCAAACCTTTGCCACCGAGTGTCTGGCCTTGTGCCTGCACAATCAGAACATCTTTTGCTTGAGCGCTAGCGATATAGTCATCTATTCCGTGGGCGGCGTTGTGCTCCACCGGCTGCTGGGCAATGATATCGAGGGAAAAATCATTGGCATGGATCTGACCGGCTGCTATCTGTCCGTGTTCACCATGAACGGCTATGTCAAGGCGTACGATGTCAGCCGGCATGATCCGAAGCTGCTGTTCCCCAGCAAATCCGGACACGAGATATTCGATGACTTTGGTGAGTTCATTTTGGTCAAGTGCAACAGCTTGGGCAGCCATCTGGCATTGGTGATAGCTAACAGCAGCTTCCAGCCCTGCGCTGCCGTCTACTGCTGGGACTTTGAACGCAACAATCTCTTCGAGCACGACCTGGTTCAGCTGGAGCCGGAGAATGCCTCGCAAAATGGCAGCAAATCCAGCCTGGCTGTGCGCTTCTTCTGGGATACGGAAGAGCCCCGTCTCCTGGCCGTGGAGGTCAAGTCCATGGTGATGGTAGCGCAGAAGCCCATCGCCCGGCCGCAGAATCAGCAGCCCTCGCCCAGTCACTATGTGGAGTCGCAGGTGCTGGTCATGTTCTACTCGGAAAAGGGCGAAGGCAAACTGAATGTGCTCGAGTCGCAGGCGATGAGTGCCGGCGCCCAGTTGCTCAATCTGTGCGTACCCAGCGTCGTCTGCCTGCAGGTGAACGCTGTGCAGGAGCAGCCGCTGAAGGATTTCGTGGATCTGCAGCAGTGCGATGCCAGCACCCGACGGCAGGTGCTCAATTTTAGCCTGCACGTGGCCGAAGGGCATATGGACTTGGCCTTTCGCTGTGTGCGCTCCATACAGTCCAAGGTGATCTGGACGAATCTGGCCAAGATGTGCGTGCACACCAACCGCCTGGACGTGGCCAAGGTGTGCCTGGGCCACTTGGAACAGGCACGTTCAGTGCGCGCTCTTCGCCAGGCCATCGAGGATGATGATCTTGAGCCGGAGGCCAAGGTCGCCGTGCTGGCCATTGAGCTGGGCATGATTGAGGAGGCCAAGGAGCTGTATAAGCGCTGCAAGCGCCACGATCTGCTCAACAAGCTGCTGCAGGCCACCGGCCAGCTGGACGAGGCGCTCCAAGTGGCCGAAACGGAGGATCGCATCCATCTGAAGCATACGTATTACCAGAAGGCGCAGGCACTGCGCGAACGGGGCGACATCAAAGGCGCCCTGGAGTACTACGAGAAGACACAGAATCCCGTGCAGCATATCACACAGCTGCTGCTCGAGAATCCCATGGCCATGAAGCGTTATATACAAACCACCAGCGATCCCAAAATGCTCAAGTGGTGGGGCCAATATGTGGAGAGCTCCGGCGACATGGATGCCGCGCTGGCCGTGTACAGCAAAGCTGATGATTGGTTCTCGCAGGTGAAGATACTCTGTTATCTGGGTAAGATATCCAAAGCGGATGCCATAGCCAGGCAATCGGGCGATCGCGCCGCCTGCTACCATCTGGGCAGGCATTACGAGAACGTGGGCAAGTTCCAGGAGGCCATCATGTTCTATACGCGCGCCCAGACCTTCAGCAATGCCATACGCATCTGCAAGGAGAACGACTTCCAGGAGGAGCTCTGGACGGTGGCCAGCTCGTCGCGCAGCCGCGACAAGGCCATCGCGGCGGCCTACTTCGAGGAGTGCGGCAATTTCAAGTATGCCGTCGAGCTATACCATCGCGCCGGCATGCTCCACA